ATCGGATCTTCTGATGTCATGCGTACACTCCACACCAGCGCAAGGCCGGTCTCGAGGCAGGGCACCATTGTTTTTGATCCAAGAGTACCCGCGACTCCCCGGGTTCCCCTCAGATGTGTACGGTATTATGACGCAAAGATCCGATTCCGCTCGACCAAGACCCTATGCAGAGCTGGATCAGGCGTTGCACACTCTGGGGGGTTATGTACTCTTGGTAGCAGGCATTTACACTTTAGGGTCCCTCAACTCAACCACCCAAACACAATCTCTTTGCTGCGTACGTCACTTGAATTGTTCAAATGTTCACCAATTTTTCGGGCCAGACTCGAAAATTTGGTGAGCATTTCAAGTAATGTATGTAGCAAAGAGACTACGTTTGGGAGGTTGAGTGAGGGACCCTAAAGTTTGTTGCTGCCAGTTTTGCAGCGACGATGTGGATGTGTGTGTGTGTGTGTGTGTGTGTGTGCGGGCGTGCGTGCGTGCGTGTGTTTGTGTGTGTGTGTGTGTGTACGTGTGTGTGTGTGTGTGTGTGTGTGTACGTGTGTGTGTATGTATGCATGTAGGACGAGACGTCTTCGGTGCTGTCCACCTCTCTAATCTTCTTCCTGATCGGCATAGTAACGGCTCGCATTGGCCTGTGGATGTTTGACCTTGCTACCACTCAGCTGTATCAGATGGAGGTAAAGTTATCCAATAGACACCCTTACCTTAGACACCCTTAGATGTTGTGTGTGTTGTTGTTAGTCGCACTATCTGATCTCGCTGCCTTGATGAACTGTTAGTCATAACTCGTAACTTATAGGTCCTTTTTCTCTTTTAACATAATCACTATAGGCTCACCATCGGTTTATTTTATTTTAAAGGGAATTTGTGTTGACCATAATGGGAGGTATGGATCGAAGATGGCTGTCACCTTTTACAGTACCTGAGCAAAGTTGACGCATTCCGTGGTGTGCTACTGCTGTTGCTGCTACTGCTGCTGCTGCTGCTGCTGCTGCTGCTGCTGTCGTTGTCATTTCCGGTGGTTCTGCTGTTATTGCTGCTGTTGTTGTTGTCATTGACGATGGTGCTGCTGCTATTGCTGCTTTTGTTGCTGCTGCTGCTGTTGCTGCTGCTGTTGCTGTTGCTGTTGTTGTTGCTACTGCTGCTGCTGTTGCTGCTATTGCTACTGCTGCTGTTGCTGTTGCTGCTGCTGTTGCTGTTGTTGTTGCTACTGCTGCTGTTGCTGCTATTGCTGCTGTTGCTGCTGCTGTTGCTGTTGTTGTTGTTGTTGCTACTGCTGTTGCTGCTACTGCTGCTGCTGCTGCTGCTGCTGCTGCTGTCGTTGTCGTTGTCATTTCCGGTGGTTCTGCTGTTATTGCTGCTGTTGTTGTTGTTGTCATTGACGATGGTGCTGCTGCTATTGCTGCTTTTGTTGCTGCTGCTGCTGTTGCTGCTGCTGTTGCTGTTGCTGTTGTTGTTGCTACTGCTGCTGTTGCTGCTATTGCTACTGCTGCTGTTGCTGTTGCTGCTGCTGCTGTTGTTGTTGCTACTGCTGCTGTTGCTGCTATTGCTGCTGTTGCTGCTGCTGTTGCTGTTGTTGTTGCTACTGCTGCTGTTGCTGCTATTGCTGCTGCCGTTGTCATTTGCGGTGGTTCTGCTGTTACTGTCGCTGTTGCTGTTGTCATTGACGATGGTGCTGCTGCTGTTGCTGCTGCTGCATTTGTTGGTGCTGCTGCTGTTTCTGCTGTTTCTGCTGCTGCTGCTGTCGTTTGCGGTGGTTCTGCTGTTACTGCTGCTGTTGTTGTCATTGATGACGGTACTGCTGCTGCTGTTGCTACTGCTGTTGCTGCTGCTGTTGCTGTTGCTGGTGCTGTTGCTGCTGTTGCTGACTATCCATATCTCTACCTGTTTGTTATTAGGTTGCGGAAGAGCATCGTGGAACAGTGGGCGGCGTACAGAATGCTCTCAACTCCAACATGGATTTGCTGCACTTCGTTCTGGTGATCGGTTTCCCGGACCCCACGCAGTTCGGCGGCCTTGTGGTGGCCTCGTTTGCAGCTGTTGTCGTTGCTGCCGTCCTCTACACGACGTTCGCGCGTAGTCGGTCAGCGTCGTCCTTGTCCTCTGGACTCCCACTCTGCTGTGTGGTCTACAGCGGGAGTAGAAGCGGTGATGACGGCGGCGGAGGACGCTGCGGACAGTGTAAGAAGTGTTACTGTACGGGCAGAAAATTCCGTCGGTCAATAATTTCATCCAACTCCAAACAAAGGGAGTTCGTCCGGTCGTAAATTTCGTCCATTGATGATAAGATCAAAGAGTGTATTGAAAAGCTGGACAAATCGACATTAATCCTGCATTATTTTAATTTAGTCCTAAAGGTCCTGGGATGAAAAAGACGAAATTGAATTCCAGACGAACATTTCTGCTGATGCGGTAGGCGTTTTGAAAGTGTGTGTGTGTGTGTGTGTGTGTGTGTGTGTGTGTGCGTGCGTGCGTGTGTGTTGCGGCTCTCTGTCTGCCTCTCCGTTATCACAACCCTACCTACGTAAGACAACTTTCCGTAAGTGGAGTGCAAACTTCCGAATTCACGGGTTTTTCGGTGGAAGTGCGAGAGTTCGATTGGGAACAAAGGAGGAAGGGAGTGTCTCAGCTTCCTCGGACCAAAACCATTCGACTCGGCACCCCGAAGACTACAACTAGTGAAAAATTGATTTTAGGGTATACTTCCCCTTCAAGATTATTGTCTCCACGTGGCCTTTTTGCATATTTATTTTCGGCTATTTTCGGCCTGGTCATGTTTGGCCGAAAATTTGTTACGGTCGAAATTTTGTTTTGCAAAGTCCGGTGTGACAGTGTATACAGGCGGCAGCAGTACAGGCCGAAATAGGTTTTAGCCGAAATTTGAATGGCCGAAAATTTGTGGACTTACCGTACGTGTGCATATGTGTGTGTGTGTGTGTGTGTGTGTGTGTGTGTGTGTGTGTGTGTGTGTGTGTGTGTGTGTGTGTGTGTGTGTGTGTGTGTGTGTGTGTGTGTGTGTGTGTGTGTGTGTGTGTATGTACAGGTTGTTGTAGCTGTTGCACGCCGTGGACGCGTCTTCCCGACTTCAACGACTCGCCACACCGCCACCGCCAGCTGGTGGCCGCCAGCACGGGAAACCCCGACGATGTCACCTATAGAGGGAGCGACATTATCGCGGCGCATGACCAGAGTGACGACGATGATGGCGATGCCATGGCGATAACCAATGCCGTGGAACTGTAGGCCATCGCTAGGTGATTTTGCACTCGGTTTTTTTTAAAAATATGTTCCCATACCCAACTACTAATGATGGGTGAGGGTCTGCATAGGGTGTACGTGTGTGTGTTCCATGGTTTTGTTCCCGCCGCCCGCAACCGGAAAGTGGGCACACGGTGAAGCCATGAATCATCTTTTTTTTCTTTTCTTTTCTTTTTCTATTTTAAAATTGTGAAGAAAGACCTGTTTGTCTTGTTAGGGGGCTGTGCATGGGCTGCTGCCGCTGTTTGTCTTGTTAGGGGGCTGTGCATGGGCTGCTGCCGCTGCTCTCCGGGTCACTACGTAACCAAAGGCAACACGGATTGGATTGAGAGTGGCGGCTGGCCTTTAGGTCGCCCCACGTGCTCTGCGGCGCGTGTGATATTTCTATTTATTTTCGCTATCTACATTGCACATGTCGTATGACACGCACACACGCGTGCACACGCACACACACACACGTACGCTCACCCGCACCCGCACCCCCCCCCCCCACACACACGTTTAGTGTTGCCAATAGTCTACGTTATATAGGTGTTTATGTAGCATGGACTGAGCTACGCATTATGCTGCTGTACCAAAGAAAGAAAGAAAACCTAGAAGTTGTTTGGAATAATAGCGATGATGATGCTTAGGAGTCGCTTGCGCGCCTTGATCCTTGAGCTTGGTTGTGTTCTTAGTCATTGCCACCGATACAGGAAAAGTGTCTGACTCCCTCGTTGACTCACTATGATCTTATTGTTATTTATTTTTTAATTTTGTATTAATAGCTGCGCCATGGTGCTCCCGGTACGGTGCGCTATTTTCTTTCTTGATTTCCATTTTTTATTATTATTATTTTTTTAATATTTCCAATTTTCATGGCAGCCTGGCCCGTTGCCATACTAAGGCATAGTAACTTTGTGCCTGAACAGCAGCCAGCCGTCTGTTGGTGTAATATTACCAAGAGTAGATAACCCCCGGGGGTTATCTACTCTTGATTACTACTACTGTACTAGCCCTAGCCGTATGGCTCCCTCAGCCTCCCTGCACCTTATCCTGTGATCAGCCTGATGTGACTCACATCAGGCTGATCAGATGCATAATTATGCAATGACGTAAAGCGAGATTCACAGAAGCATTTTTGGCATTTTTTGCGATGCGATGGCCCCACGCCGACGGCCGCGAAACCGGGAAATCCCCAAATCGCAGCCATCCCGCTTGTTTGTCTGTCCCTGCGGGAATACTTGCCCAAGAAATTGCGGCAGAAAACAACAAAAAATGCGGTGAAAAGTGCGGAACTTGCCCGGAACTCGCGGAATTATTGGCAGAAAATTGCGGATTTGGGCCAAATGACGAAATTTGTTGTATCCTTAGAATCGCTATTTGCGTACTGTGGAAATAACCTACGAGCAGGATCATGGAAAACACTGTATACCAGGTATACTGCGTGAAAAGTGCAGAAAAATGTCAAAAGAAATGCAGAAAACAACGTAAAACTCGGGAAATCGCGGATTTTTCAGAAAATCGCGGGTTTGGGCCAAAATCGCGAAATTTGTTGCGTCCGTGGAATCGCGATTTCCTGGAGGGACAGGTTTGTGGACCCGGCCGGAGTTCGAAGCCCCTTCTTTTGCAACACTTGTCACTTCGCGCCAAATCAGCAAGCTATTTATAATGCTAGCTGTCGTCGCATCGATAATAACAAGAGTACATATATATAATAACTACACACGTGTAGTTATGTACTCTTGATAATAATAATTATTGCAATCATTGCAAGTGCATCAATCATTGCATGCATGACCTGAACATCGTGCTCCTCCCAAACCACCATCACTTCGCCGATAAAGCAGAAAAGTAAAAGTGCCGGAGTAGGTCTTGCCGTGTTCTCTGCTGTCCCTGTCGGTCGATTTGTCGTCAGGTTCTCGTGTGTCTTTCTCTGAGGTAAGTTTGAAGATGGAATGCATCATCTTGCTTCGAATAATCCATTTTCATTCAAATTTCAATGTCCTTTTGTGATGAAAAAGCTAGGCCCCGCGACTTGTTCAGTGGTGTGTCTGCTTCCCCAGTTTATGCCGTATTTCCAGAGTCAAAGTGAGTCTTGTACTCGTAGTAAAATTGCAGAGTGTATGACTGTACGTGTGCATACACCGCAATCAATCATCCTAGTATTGTAGGAAGTTGGTAGATGAGTTAGCTCTTTACACATGCTGCACTGTACGATATTGGGTCACCCGATATTGACCACATTGTAGGCGGCGCCACTGATACACGTAGTCGTTGTGCGCTATATAGGGCTTGAAAGTGCTACGTCACAGCATAGCAACAATTTCAAAAATTCAAAAATTGGATCCACTTGGATCCAGTTTTTGTATGGATCCAAGCACATTTCAAGCCGTCTTACTCACAGCAAGGTGATGTAACCAGTGAAACTGACTGATTTGGCTACTGGGGGCGGGGTTACAACTGGTGACGAAGTAAAAGTCACCCCTGCATACGACATGAGTGGGTTGCTATGCACCCACATACTGAGGCAATAGCAAAGTCACACCTTAGTGGATCCAAAATAGAAATCTGATGTCAACTTAGTACTCCCTGGCCGTTTTTGACGTCATCACTTTCAAGCCCTATTGTTATTTGAATTATTTGAAGAGTATGCCGTGCGCAAACGCTCCAACGTCCATCACAACGGTTGAGTAATAAAACACATACCGTATATTTGTGGAAGAAAAAAAGGACCAAGGAACTTCAAGTTACACTATAATGTCCACTATTAAACCTGTCCCCACAGAATAACGTGGACAAAATCCTTAAATTATGCGCATAATTATGCGGGCGAAAGCAGGCCATTATGCGGCAAATATGCGGGATTATGCGGCAAATATGCGGGTTAATGCGAATTGTATAACAGACCACTTACCATGAACACAGGAACTTGGGCTGACGGCCAGCCTCCAGGTTCTTGTGATGTCCTTTGCACTTCACATGATCCACGAACGGCTGGAGGCCGGTCGTGGTTTTCGCACAAAGGGAGCAACTGAAAAGCATGATGTCGGTCGTTGGAGTTGAATGGGACTGATCAAGGCGGCTCCAATCACTTTTATCCCCATCCAGTTGTTTGAAGTTCGTTGGTTGGAGGGTGCGGCGCGCGCGCAGTTCAGCATTAAAACTCCGCGCGACGATCATGGAGTCCGCCGCTCAGGATGTGAAGCGGGTAAATTGGGTGGTAATGTGAGTACTACATGGCGGACATCTCTTTGAAACGTGTGGGATTCACATAGAAGATAGTTGAAACCCCGCGATAAAGATGGTGGTCATGGAGACGACGACGCGCTCAAACTTGTCGTCGGTTCTAGTTGATTCCAGAAACTAAACTTGCGCCGGATCCGAGTACGCTGTGCGTACTATGAGCATCGCGAGAGTAGGAAAATATCGGTATTTTGCTACTCTGTGGTTGATAGTTATTAGTGGTGTGCACGGATAGTCGGGTACCCGTGCTACCCGTGAGGACCTCGGGTAGACGGGTACCCGTGCTACCCGTGAGGACCTCGGATAGTCGGGTACCCGTGCTACCCGGGAGGACCTCGGGTAGACGGGTACCAAATCGTACCCGAAAACCCGAAGTCGCAGATGACATAATGTAGAAAGAGTAAAGAGAGAGAGAGCCTGAGTGGTCTACAGTGCACGTGTACAAATAATTCTGAATTTCACGCATGTCTACCCAGTGTGTAAGGGACGGGGCCGGTGTGCACTGTGGTCTTACCATGGGAACATTACCCGATCGGGTACACGTGCTACGCGTGGAAAACTACCCGGACCCGATACCCGAAGAAAATGCTACCCGACTCAGCCCTAATAGTAATGCAGACGGTGCGCGGAAGGAAGATTAAGAGCGTTGGCCGTGGGCCTGGCACAACGTGAAGTACGATCACTTACATGTACCGTATAGGACCGCCAGAGCACCCCACCATCTCGTCCTTTCCTGGTTGTCTGTGGAGGTGATTTCCTGTCTGTAGGTCATACGACACGGATCTTGTACACACATTGCACGTTGTGCACTCAATCTGTGCCCAATTTGTGTTCGAGCGGATGCGAGTTCCACATAACATGCCAAGTGTGACCTTAGTTCTCACAGCGTACAAACTTACAGTCCATTCATTGGAAACTGGCACCCTAACTTGTTGGTGTCTCTGTCATATAGTTGTAGATATCGTGAAAACAACAGTACATCACGCATTGTGTGACCCGTGCAATTACTCCTTGCCACATTTGAGGCCAGAAAAGTCCAAGAACAGGGAAATAGAAATTCAGCCAGGTTTTACAAAATTAGGACAGGTATGCCCTGGCAAAATGTATGGAGAAGCAGATCCAAAACCCAGATTTTTGAGATTTAAAGTGGGTTTTTGATCCTCAATTCGGCCCAAATCCGACTTTCAAAAGCCAGCGGGCCAGTTTCCGATGAATGGACTGTAGTAGCACTCTGCCATACGATTTTCTTCCCTTGGCTGTAAAATCAAGGTGGGGCGCTCTCGCGAGACAGGGTGCTCTGGCGGTACTTTACGGTATAATGTACATGCGTATGACGCCCATATGCATGAATGCATACAAAAAAAGAGAAGAATCAGTCGGCACTCAAAGCATCGGTCGGTCGGGTTACCTGGCTGAAACAAAGAACTTTTTCGGTGCCGCCTTACGAAATATAATTGATTTACAGTATTGGCTCAGTATCCGAGTTTGATTATATATGTGTGTGCGTGGGCGCTGGCTGACCAAGGTGAGGAATACAGCATCAAATGGGCAGTCATAGATCGGGCCAAGTCCTACAGCAACATATCCAAAAGGTGCTGCTTGTGTTTAGCAGAAAAGTTGCGCATCATCACCTTCAAGACGCCTCACACTCTGCTCAACAAGAGGTCGGAGTTGGTATCAAAGTGCAGACACCAAAACAAGTTCTACCTCTCCACCTACTCTGCCGTGACATAGCCACCGCGTGCTACCACTATCACCGCCACATCCTCTGAATACCCGCGGCTGTTGAATGTGGACACCACAGTGTGCTTCCACCGCCACACACCACACCCTCTGCCCAGTGCCCCCATGGCTTACCCTTGTCCTGCCTGGTGGTTTCTCCGCCTCTGCACGCTTCATGCAAGTTCGCGCCTACTGCGCATGCCCATCCAGTGATGTAATTATTATCACTCGCTCTTTCCATGCATGCCCTGCATTGATAGCTCACACCTCCTCTACATGCCCATGCGTATCCCCCACAATAAGAACAAGCTATCCCGCGACAAAAGCATTAGTTGTCTGATGATTGCCTTAGCATTTAGCTACGTGCATGAAACGCAGCGTTACAACGTATGTTTCTATAATTGGTGAAACCATTCTTTTTGACCTTTATGTGTGTGCGTGCGTATGTATGTGCTGTGTGTGTGTGTGTGTGTGTGTGATGCTTGTATGTCCATGCAGTAGATAGTCAGGATGGCGCGGATCTCTGCATTTGTTTCGATTGGTTTGGTCATGGCGACAGCAATGTGTGTCTATGCCGATTGGGACTATATGCTGTTCGAGGAGCAATGGGCTCCGGGTGCGTGCTGGGTGAGTCAGGATATTGTGTGTGTAGGGTGTGTGTGTGCGTGTGTGTGCATGTGTGTGCATGTGTGTGTGGGTGTGTGCATGTGTGCGTGTGTGTGTGTGTGTGTGTGTGTGTGTGTGTGTGTGCGTGTGTGTGCGTGTGTGTCCACGGGGCGGCCTTGGCCTTCTGGTCAGGGTCGTCCCTGGGTATTGACTGGCAGTAGGCTTTTCATGCCTTGCAGCTGGTTTCGCTCGCGCGGAAGGACATTCAGTGAGCTGACGACCAGGGCGGGTAATTTGTTGCCGTCACCGTCTTCTTGCGTCCTTTCCGCATCCTCCGCAGTGGCGTGGCGAGCCCTCGGATCAATCCCCAGCCTGTAACAATGCAGTGGCGTTCGGCAAAACAAGTGGATTCCTGGATGAGAAAGGATACAGGTCACACTCGCAACAATTTATTCCTGCACGGTGATAGCTGTAATTGTGAATTTGTTGTGTTGTTTGGACCTGAGTGACCAGTCGTCGTGCGGCGATGGTGTAGTGATGTTAGCTTGCTGCGCATACTCCTCGTCGTTTCGTGAAAGTACGTCTTGTGGAGCCCTTGTGGGACGTTCGGTGCCCACCCTCCAGCTCAAGATTGTGCTTTCCTGGTGCATGAAGGCCGAAGCAGTACGCGTCCAGACGTTATTGTTGAACAGAACATCATGTTCACATTAATTTTGTTCCTTTTTCAGTCGTTGCATGTTATACTTATAGTGGACCTACAGTACAGCAGACTGTTCATCTGGTTTGTGATATTTCCTTCCTCTGTTTGTGAGTCCCTTTCCATCAATATGGCAGCTTGTTTTGATTTCCTTTTTTCAATTCATTTTGCTGTACTTCCTGTTTTGTTTGCGCCACTGCCCCTCACCTTGCGCTCAGTTCTCTGAGTGGAGGGCGGCGTGACCCCAAGGGGTAGCTGATTGATAGTAGTAGTAGTGTGTGTGTGTGTGTGTGTGTGTGTGTGTGTGTGTGTGTGTGTGTGTGTGTGTGTGTGTGTGTGTAGGGTGTAGGGTGTGTGTGTGTGCATGCATGTAAGCATGTGCGTACCCCACCCTCGTTTTTCCGCTTCTTGCGCAAACTATTGGGTGGAAGCAATGTGGGAATGCAGTGTGACACAGTTGTTAGAATCATCCCTTGCCGGGACAAGTTATTTTTTACATGTAAGCGCGATTGATCTAAGTCTGACGTTGATATTGTTCTGGTTTGCTTCCTGACCAACTCCACCACGCACACACGCTTTGTATTGGTGTCGTTTTAGAAAGGTATTGTGAGCATATCATCTGGCGCTGCTGACTCAGCTGCTCATCTCTGGTTTTCTTTCTCTCTCTCTCTCTCTCTCTCTCTCTCTCTCTCTCTCTCTCTCTCTCTCTCTCTCTCTCTCTCTCTCTCTCTCTCTCTCTCTCTCTCTTTCTCTCTCTCTGCTCTCTCTGCTCTCTCTCTCTGCTCTTTCTCTGCTCTCTCTGCTCTTTCTCTGCTCTCTCTGCTCTCTCTGCATATAGCAAGGTGGAAAGACGCTTGTCAATATCCAGGGACTTGGCCGCCATCACCATAGTGGGGTGAGTTTGGAACGCCATGTGTGTTACACTTTGCACTCATGTACATCCCCCCCCCCCCCCTCACACACACATATACACCATCGCCAGCACACCCCCACGAGCCCAGCATGGAGCACTTGCGAAGGTGTTTCCCTCTATTTGTTTTACTCGTGTGTGTGTGTGTGTGTGTGTGTGTGTGTCCCATATGGTGCAGTGGTATGTGCAGCGATTTCCAATCAATAGGTTGCGGGTTCGATTCCCGACGATTATGGTCACACACGTCTTTCTTCTCTTTCTCAGACTCTTCCTGACTTTTCTTTCATTCTCCTGGGTGGTTACCAACAGCCCGTGTATGCCGGAGTATGTGGTGTGGCGTGTGTGTGTCTAAAAAAGAATGAAAAAAAAAGGAAAATAGGGATTCACTGGCCAGAAAATAGCCACTTCAATCAGCTATGTGGTGGATACCAGGCTAAAATTAGTGGCGGACAATTCATCAGCCTTGCAAGCTGTTGAATGGTGTAATCCCAGCACAAGTTGCTATGTCTAACATAGTTGTTCGCTATCAATAGCCTATCATCGCTTCTGCGATGGGCATGTCTGAGTGTGTGTGTGTGTGTGTGTGTGTGTGTGTGTGTGTGTGTGTGTGTGTATGTTTGCAGAGTAAAGAATGTGACATTCCAGCAGTGGCAAGTGATGGGTTCACCATCCATGGATCCTGGTATGTCATACTGTAAACCATGTCATTTTAGGTTTGTTTCAATTCCGTGTCACGGACCTGCCGGGTTTCAGGTGTAGTGTAGAATTAGGTGACCAGCTTTTTAACTCGGATTTGGAATCTAAATTCGGGAAATTTTCAGCGGAGTCACCCCCAGCTCTCAACAAGTAAACAGCACCGCAGATGGCTGACCGTATCACCTTTAAAAGTTACCTTCCGACGCCCTTGGTGTCAGATCTGATTCTTCATCGTGTTTCGGTGTTTCTGCACACTTGTCTGGCAGGCCTACGAAGGACGGCAGCGAAGGTCCGAATTACTGCAATGACTCTTGGCCATTCTCTCCAGCTCCCATCCAGGTACCGTATTGTCTTGTTGTAAAGCAGGTGTCTCATCATGATACAAGCTTGGTTTTCGAGATGCACTGTCGGCACATAAGTCTGGCTTTAGTGTTGACATACATAGAAATTTGTGGTTTGAGTAGAAGCCTGACTTGAGTAGAAAGTCTAGCCCGGACATGGGCTTCCACAGGAATATGCCCGGCTTTAACACACGTAACACTACGGCATGCGTGTGCGTGTGTCGTCGTCGTAGCCGAATGTTGTGGCTACAGTACTGCCGGGCGCTGAAGAACGACCAGGCTAGAATTTCACCGAGCACAGCATACCAATGTATACTGGTGCACGGTGACTCAACTGTGCATAGACTGTATAGTGCATGAAAATAAGAACAGTCTAGGCCAGGAGGTTGACTCCCCCGTTCTTCTCCGACCGACAATACCATAAAAGCCCGTAGATACGCCCACTACCCGTGTGCGTGGCCAGTTGCCGCGTCTCAACACTCTTGTCCCATTTTCTAGCCCACCTCCATGCGAATGCCCATGGGCAAAAGCCCGGGTCCATTACCGTAATTCCGCGCATATAAGCCCACCTCCGTTTATAAGCACATGGGCTAATAAACAGACACAAATGCAACTCACCAAGAGTACATAACCCCCAGAGTGTGCAACGCCTGATCCAGCTCTGCATAGGGTCTTGGTCGAGCGTAATCGGATCTTTGCGTCATAATACCGTACACATCTGAGGGGATCCCGGGGAGTCGCGGGTGCTCTTGGATCAAAAACAATGGTACCCTGCCTCGAGACCGGCCTTGCGCTGGTGTGGAGAGTACGCATGGGGGTTATGTACTCTTGAACTCACGTGTCAAGTAGACTTTTTCACAAAATGGACTCTTCCTACCATGGTACAGCAGGTCAGTGCAGTTTACCAGTAGAGTATGGTAGACTGACCATGAGCACGGACTTGTACTTTTTCGTGAACCTTCAAAATTCGAATATCGGCCCATGGGCTAAAATACGAAGATGTTTTACTGGATATTTTATCCCCAAACTGCATTGTTTCACATATAAGCCCATGGCCGTATATGCGCGGAATTACGGTACCCAGAGCAGTGCATGCACAGCTCTCTGTGTATGTACTGCACTGTAGTATACCTTAGTGTACAGTACACTGTACAGTACACAGTACAGTACATGCATAGCTCCATATACATAATATATTATACATATACATGTACAGTACTGTAGTATACCTTAGTTTATTACATGTCAGGTGACCGTTTCCAGGTCTACAGCCAATCAGCGACCAGACAGAGCGGGCAATATTCCTCCATACAAGCCCGCTCAGGCGGTCCAATATTACACGATATTGCCCGGCATTTGACCCCATACACACTGTACACATACACATACAAGTAGGTGCGCATGTAATACCAGTTGGATACATGTGCCTCGTAGTTTTTCGTACCATGATCCCGAATTCCACGTGTGAAGGCAGTGTACGTTGATGAGTACATCAAATTAGGGAAGTATGCATGTTATAAATGTGTTATTAGCCTCGTAGTACGGGCAATACCGGCTACGATATCTGCCGGTATTGCCCTGATACTCGGCTAATAACACATACGTACAGTACACTGTGCTAACCTGATCTGTACATGCAGTAGTACGGCATGATGTGAAATTAGTTTGATATCACCTATACGAAATAGCGCCCGGGCGCACATTAGCACCCAGGCCCTAATTGACGCCCATGTTCTTGACCTTCACTAACGTTTCCGGATGAAACTTGATCCCGTACCACGGCGAGGTTTCCATACGTACTTTGGTACGTTTTACCGTGTGGCGAAACCTCTCTATTACGGGCTTTTACGGTGTTGTACACTTGGTCAGATCAGCACTTGACATTTCAACTGAACATCTCTGAAGATGCTGACCTCGTCGCGATGAACCTGGCAATGTGTCGCCACTGTTACTGCTGTTTTGTGAAACCCCCGTCGTCGGACAATGTTGAACAAAAGTAGAGTAGATAGCACCTGACTCTGCGGCGTGTGTGTTTGTGTTTCGTGTACGTGGATGTGTGTGTGTGTTTTGTGCATGTGTGTGTGTGTTTCGTGTACGTGGATGTGTGTGTGTGTGTGTGTTTTGTGCATGTGTGTGTGTGTGTTTCGTGTACGCGTGTGTGTGTATGTTTCGTGTACTTGTATACCTGTGTGTTCAGGATTTAGTCAGTGACCTTGATGTGTTTTGGCCCTCTTTCTACGGGCCCAACGCTGAGTTCTGGTAAGTACAATACAGTGTACTGTAAAACCGGGAAATTTCGGTGGGGATTTATTTTCGGTAACTTTGATACAGGTAATTTTTACCTAAAATAAAACGCAACCTAAAATTCAACAATGCCATGTCACACAGTGCACGAAATGCAACATAAATGGCGTAATTTTGATAACAAGTCGTGGCGGAGATCTTTGTGTAGTTGCTCAGTCTGGGGAGTTCTCTCTCTCTCTCTCTCTCTCACACACACACACACACACACACACACACACACACACACACACACACTCTCTCTCTCTCTCTCGCTCTCTCGCACACACACACGCACACACACACACACACACACACACCCTCATTCTGTCTGCCTGTCTCACTTTCTCTGTGCAGGTCTCATGAGTGGGATAAACACGGTGTATGTGCAGCTCAACTTCCAGCACTCAACTCTGAGCACAAGTTCTTCGACTTTGTACTGGAATTGCGCAAGAAGCATGACTTTAAGCAGTGAGTTATATTATTGTGCTCTTGTCTGCTGCTGCTGCTACTGGTGGTTTTGCTGCTGCTGGTGCTGGTGCTGTTGCTGTTGCTGCTGTGCGTGTGTCGTCGCCCTATTTCGACGGCCCCTCTCTGTAGCCTGTGTTGCAAGCACCACTCCCAGACCATAGCTGCCAGGTTGGCTTTGTCAGGCACGAGTGGAGGTGTGTTGCGCTGCCGCCTCAGTGCTCTTGATACTAGTGTACAACATGTAATTTTAGGCGTACAGTAAACTTCGCTAATAACGACTGCGGATATAACGACAGTTCGCGAATAACGACAGAATTTCCATGCCCAGAGCAAAGGTCCATCTAACTGTTATACATAATAATGAGACTTCGCGAATAAGGACACCTTTTTGATGACCCGCCGAGTGTCGTTATAAGCGAAGTTGACTGTATTTTAATTTCGGTGTCACGGACCTGCCAGTTTTAAGGTGTAGTGTAGAAGTAGGTGACCAGCATACAGTGCATACTCTGGTGCCTTTAGGCTGAAGTCACACTAGGTAAACAATGTACGCATGTACTGTAACTGCCGCTTTTTTGGTATAAGTCATCAAGGCTACATACGGGAAATCTAAAACGCTCCACGTATCTTTCAGCAAGTCGCGGACCCCCCTGTATAAGCAGCTTTTTTCCACATGTAGCGTATCTTTTGAATGTCACGCACCTCAATACTCACCTGATACAACGTTTTCTGGCGGTTGGGCTGGAAATATGCAATACAACTTGCAGTGTGGCTGCTGCCTGCAATATACTGTAAATATACCAGTTTTCGGCAGCTATTTAATTTCGGCTATATTCGGCACCGACCCAAAACGCCGATGAAATTTTTCACAGCATCTGTCGCACTATACCATGCCCTCTACCCCACGCCGAAAATAAATCGCCGCCGAAATGTCAAAAATCGTGAAGTGCCGAAATTTTGTATATTTACAGTACACGTATTTCCACCCTAATACATGCGTGTATGATTTATCTACATGTAGTGCGGTTGGAGCCTTAGGCGTAATCTAAATTTAGGTGCTTGTTTTGTCTGTTGGCTCTGGGTTGCCAGTACCCAGTATCCAAGGCTGGTTGGTAAACTAACTCCAATTTCACTTCAAGGTACAGTAGATATTGGTTATAACGTGCCCTTCTGATTTTTCACATTTTATCACTATAACCGGTATATCACTACATCCGATTTTCAACTGCGCTCGTCATACATACACATTATACACGTGTGGGTACTCGATCGCGCTAATGTAGCGTACTGATACACGATGCATGCTGCTGCACCTTCCCCAGTCTAGAGTGAAGAACTTCTTGGCCCAAAGGCATCATCCAGGAAGCATCAGACCAGAATACACTCTGAAAAGACACATGTGGCTCCAAGTTGAGACATCAATGCCTCACACTCGTGTGTTGCTATCACTATAGACGATAATTTTTCTGCACAAAGAGGTGTTTTGAATGGTGATTCTGTATCCTTATAGCCGATTTATCGCTATATACGATATATTGGTTATAATGATAGTTTGACTGGCTTTTTCTGGTTTTGCTTTTGATATTTTCATTTTGTACCAATATAGCCGGTTTATCACTATGTCCGATGACTTTATAACCAATATCCACTGTACCAGTGCATCTAGTGTCTGCTTTTATCAAAGCAGCGTGCTGTCTATACTGGTTACCTCAGCAAGTGCAGGGTGTGCATAGGTGACTGTCTTGGCCGTCCTATTCCGATGTACTCCGAGTGGTGTAGGCCCGGTGTGCATTGGGGGGTCGATTCACATGGCTTCGCCAGTTGTGTGGATTAGACAGTTATCTGGCGCTTGTCTTGATCTGTATCATTCGGAATCAGATCCGCTATCGTTGCTATAAAGAGAAAAGCTGTGGGTGCACGTCCAGGGCATTTGCAGATTTGCGTGCTTCTCTTGCGACGGGCTTATACATGTGCATGGTGTGTGTGTGTGTCTGTGTGCGTGCGTGTGCGTGCGTGTGCACGTGTGTGTGGTGTGTATGGGTGGTGTGTGTGTGTGCATGTGTGTATGTGCGTGTGTACAGATACTTTGCGGATGGCGGTGTCCTTCCCAGTCAAGATCGTACGTACAGCTTCACCAACATGACCAAGACCGTCCAGAACGCCATTGGAGTCGCGCCATTCCTCTCTTGTCAGCAGGGCGGGGTAAGCAAACCTGTGTGACTGTGTGTGTGTGGGGGGGGGGGGGGGGAGCTGTTATATTTCACTGTTCCACTACGTAAGCAGTTGCATGATAGTTTCAAGAAGTTTAACTCAGTCACTGAGAAGCATTGCCGTGGGCGGAAATGAGAGAAGGGGCGGATCAACGGTACTAGTACTTTACGCTACATGTCTTGTGTTGCTATGGCCACTTCGAAATGCATCATCATCATATGCCTTGTGTTGCTACGGGTACGACTGTGTTGTGCTGTTGCAAAGAAGGATCCACGAGCGGGATTCGAACCCAACCACCCCTGTCTTTCCGGGACAGTGCCCTACCGATTAGGCTACTGCGGATCACGCCCACACGCCCGCACGCACACACACACGTACACACACACACACATGTGTGTGTGTGTGTGTGTGTGTGTGTGTGTGTGTGTGTGTGTGTGTGTGTGTGTGTGTGTGTGTGACTCCTTCTTGCTACAGTGTCGTGTTGTGTTACTATAGGACTGCGACTGTTTTTTTTTTAAATACTTATTTTACAAAGACCACTTAAATGCCAAACATGAGCTGCAGCTAGGGAAGCACGCACAGCATGAATCGTGTTGTGTTCTTGTGTGCTGTTGTGTTGCTATGACTGTACGACGATCACCGCGCTGTCATCGTCGCCAGGACGGTGCGCAGTACTTGTCTGCGCTTGCCGTGTGCATCGGCCGCACACTGGCCATCACCGAGTGTCCAGTGGAAGTGTTCTCGGAGCGCGGCCATTGCCAGAGCGACACCCCGATCACCTACCTGCCGCACAAAGCAATGTGAAGAGCGTACATGTGCTGCGTAGCAGCCATTGGAGACGGCGCTCTATCGGGGAGGTTGAGCGTCTCTTGTAAGCTTGTAAGCAGCAGTCCGGTGCTAGTGCATATGTATGATTGGCTGTGCTCGTGGCTGTAGTCCTTTTTAACTCCTGCTGACTGCAGTAGTGCTGCCATAGCGCAGGATGTGTTGCTGTGGCATCGGTGCCGTGGCAACGATGCCGGGTGCTGCATGTGTGCGAGTGCTTGCATGCGTGTGTATGTGCGTGTTGGTGACTCTGTGTCCCACGCGCGCGTGTGTGTGTGTACCGCACGTTGTCAGCTCTACCGATGTTTGGTGCATTGCGAGTGTGCGCCGTGCCGTGTGCGGCCGAAGCTGCTCTTTTACTCGTAACCATTCCCCTCACTCTCTTTCTGTCTCTGCTCTCTCTCTCTCTCTCTTTCTGTCTCTGCTCTCTCTCCGCTCTCTCTCTCTCTCTCTCTCTCTCTCTCTCTCTCTCTCTCTCTCTCTCTCTCTCTCTCTCTCTCTCTCTCTCTCTCTCTCTCTCTCTCAGTGTCCGGGTGACCAATTTTTAATTTTCATCCTCTTTGAGTTGCTTTGCGGCCGTGTAGGGCTGTGCTAACGTTTGATTTTGATTTGTCCCAACTTGGCAGCGTGCCGACTTGCACTAGCAGCTAAGCATAGCATCGTGTGTGTGTGTGCGCGCGCGCGCGCGCGTGCGTGCGTTGATTTGAGGCGGCAGCTGATTGCGTGATAACATGCTTTAGTTTATTTTTACTAATTTTTTATTCTCCTGCTCATGGACAAGTCTTGTTTTACTGATAGTATCCAGCTGCTGCTGCTGCTGCTGCTGCTGTGAAATGCATTTATAGTAATCCGGCATATATCAATTCTCCCTCCAACCTGCGCCGTGCCGTTCTGTTTGTTTGGTTGGCTTGCTTGCTTGCTTGCTTGCATGCAGGCAGTGTACTGGTAACGTGTAGTGTTAGGTGTAGTAAAGCTGCGGTTCCGGGGACCTGGTGGGTTTCAGCGACAGTCCATAACCCCAGGAGTGTGCAAGTCTGTACGTGGGGATCCGCACAACGGAATTCCAACCTTACGTCAAAAAGGACGTACACGTTTGTTGCGCTTGTAGGCCGCGCAGTGGGCCTACAGCAGCCAAGCCCCAGTTGCACACTCTAGTCTTGGGGTTATGGACTTTTGGTTTCCGGTGTCATGACTATGCAGGAGATTGGTGACCAGCGTACTACTCTGTCCCCACAGGATACCGCGATTCCGCGGACGCGCAATTTTCCGCGTTATTGGCTGTCATCCGCGTTTTCGAGAGATTTTGCATAAAACCCGCGTTATTCATGGGATTGTACAAGAAAATAGCACATGATGAAAATGTACTACAAAGTCGTGCCGGTGCATGAGTTTGTACGACAAAGTTGTATACTTGCATAAAACTGCATGCTTAAGTTGTACAAATGACAGAGAACTCGTGCATAATGACCGAATTATACCGCATATTTGCCGCATAATTATGCGCTTAATTTTAGGATTTCGTCCGCATTATCCTGTGGGGACAGACTACTTACTTCAAGCACTAGTAGCAAGAGTACATAACCCCCCAGAGTGTGCAACTCCCACATACCCTGCTGTCCCGACAGAATTTCAAGTTGACGTCATTATTTATGACGCAATGCTCCTTGCACCAGTGATTTACAACATGTGTACGGGTGTCAGCGCATCACACGTTTTTCTTTGCGATAATTTGTACAGGATCGATCTGCTTCGGTCAACCACAGGTTCCGGATTCGTCTGGTAATCCGTGTACAGTGCGCATTGCATCATCAAAATGACGTCCACTTGAAATTCTGTCGGGACAGCACCCATAGTGGAGTTGCACACTCTGGGGAGTTATGTACTCTTGGTACGTGTACTATATGTAGACTTACAAGTAGTCTACTTTGAAGTACATGACATGTACTTCAAAGTAGACTACTCGAAGTAAGTCTACATATATCTTACCATTTACGCAAACTGCATACTGGTCCTGCAGGGCCGGCCTAGGGGGGGGGGGGGTGGGTGGCTATGTACTCTAATCTCTTGGCACCACACCATGAGTCATGACGAGTGTGGGTCTCGAGGCCCGCGTCGCTGCCCTGCTGCATGTTCTGAATCCCGGGTCCCTAATCAAGACCCATCACGACACACACATACAAGCAGCCCCCCCCCCCCCCAAACATCCACGCACACACCCGTACACACACAGTGTCACACACATGCAAGCAGCCCCCCCCCCCCCCCCCCAACATCCACTCACACACCCGTACACACACAGTGTCACACACATGCAAGCAGCCACCCCCCCCCCCCCCAAACATCCACTCACACACCCGTACACACACAGTGGCACACACATGCAAGCAGCCCCCCCCCCCCCCAAACACCCCCAAAAAGAAACACCCACCCACACACGTACACAGAGAGTATTTCCGCTAGTTCAATACCGCTAGTCTGTCCGACATGTTACACCATCTCTATGATCTGTCTGTCTCAGTGTCTGTATCTCAACTAGGCATGGCTGCGCAAGTGGCATGCACAATACTTTGAAGTACAGTCGATGCACAGCTTGTAAAGAGATGGAAATATAAAAACTTTGCCAGTGGAATCGGTCACGAGCATAGAAAATCATCAGATGCATATAGCAATGCACTACAGGGGGAAAGCAAGCCGAAGCACCAGTACTAGAGCACGTCCACTGAGATCTATGTACATTTGGTTGCTGTGCGTGCGCGCATGCATCTGGTGCCTCATGCACGCACCAGACTACCACTACTGCTGCTGCTGCTACGCTGGCGCCTGCGCGGATATTGGCCGGGGGTGCATGTTTAGTGGAAGCAGTGCTTTCGTCGCAGATCATCGCCAGCCGGCTCAAGGCGTTCTCATCGGACATCCAGGGGGGTACACACACACCCGGGACGGGGTAGCAACTAGAAAGACTAGAAAGACGGCGTACGCGGTCAGACCAGCACGGGGAAGCCCCGAGAGAGCGTGGCGGCTGCACAGCCGATGATGCAGCAAAAAAACGGGGCGAGGCAACACATGCAATTTTGAGCAGTAGCAGCAGCAGCAGAGCAGAAATACACCTACTTGTAGACACACGACATTCGGATGTTTAAAAACAACCACGACGACGACGGCGACAGTAGCAGCAGCAGCAGCAGCAGCAGCAGCAGCAGATAGACAAGGGTGCAGGTAGAAGCTAGCCAAGCACATGTCACAGGGGGAAAAGGCGCACGGTATAAACAGAAAGTAACAACGCCGAAATGCAGGAAAGGATGAGCGCGGGCAGGGGGCAGGGGGTACTGAACAACAAACAAGACAAAGGAAACAGAATGTAAGAACGAGCCGGACGGGGACGGAACGAACACCGCAGAGCGCAGCAGAAAGGGGCCACATACGCATGATAAAGACGTTGCACAGGGCGTGGCCTGCACACACAAGCGCACTGCAAATCACCACCTTGGAGCACTGCAAACAACAGGAGACTACGACAAACCTAATGACGCAGAGCACCGCTGCTTGCTTGATGAGAGGAGAGCCCGTCCGGTTAAACTCTCGTATGTACACATGCACGTAGACCTACATGCGGCGTACCGTACTGCAATCCGCGCAGAGCTCCGGCAGCGATGCAGCACACGCTGTGTTGCTGATGCCGATGATGCTGCTGTGGACTTAGATGGTCTCGTAACCCGATTTGTCAGCTCGGCCCATCGAGAAGAGGAAGACAACACCATCCTGGATAATACCAACATACATACAGAGAGAGAGAGAGAGAGAGAGAGAGAGAGAGAGAGAGAGAGAGAGAGAGAGAGAGAGAGAGAGAGAGAGAAAGAGATAGAGAGAAAGAGCTATTAAGAGAGGTATCCCGCACAACGTAATCACGCTAGTAAAAAAACGCCCCCCCCCCCCCCCCCGACACAGCCCTACATACACAAACACACATCCCATACTGCAAGCCTATTCAGCCAGTTGTGTTCCTAGATCTACACGCAGCAAACATCACCTGGCTGTTGTCAGTCTAAGAACAACAGTTCTCGTCTAGGCGTTCTGGCTACTGTACAAGCAGAAATATTCGTCTGGAATTTAATTTAGTCTTTTTCGTCCAAGGAGCTTTTGGACTATGCCGGACTAATGTCGATTTGTCCAGCTTTTCAATACACTCTTATGATCCATGGACGAAATTTACAACCGGACGAACTCCTTTTCTTTGGGGTCGGACGAAATTATTGACCGACGAAATTTTCTGCCTGTACAGTATAGTCTTTCTCAGCCTAGGTGTTGCTGACAATAGTGTTCATATTAAAAAAAAATTGTTCGTGACATCTCAATAAACCTTCGTAGCATGACGCTTCAGCTGATTCTGTTTACTGTATAGCAGGAAATTTTCGGACGGAAATATTTTCGGACAAAGCCGAACTTCGACATTTCGTACGGATTTTATCTTCGTACAGTGGTGCATGCTAAATGCACGTGTTTGCTTGCGGTACGCATGTATAGTGTACATAACTTCACAGGAACAAATTTTAGTACGGAATTAATTTTAGTACAAAAGAGGGCGTGGACGAAATCGTCCGAAAATAAATTCCGTCCGAAAATTTCCTGCTATAGAGTATTGGCACCCTAAAACTGTTGTCACCTCGCCGCCTGTTCAAATATTTAAAAATAAGAGAATCTTTCCCTCAAACCAATTGATACGGAACATCTATCCAAGAACGAACTTCCTCGCTATGGCGTGGTTAATGTGGACCAAGAGCGCGGTGTGGAGAGGTGGACAGTTTCAAATTATTTTCAAATGGCCGAGTCCGTCGCAACTTCTGAGTTTCCCTCAAATCAATGAATAATTGAATACCGTCGTAGCGTCTTGTATTAAAGCCGGTCTCATATAGAAGCCTGATTTTCAAGAGACACTGTCGGCACATAAGCCTGATAAGGGGCCGTCTGGGGTTACCGATTGTTTTTACAAAACGAAGTTTTTGTATTTTTCAGCCCCCACCCACTCACCCACCTTTTCTGCAGGTAAAACGAATTCCAATAAAATATTGATGTCAATTTTCGACACCCAGAAGTAACTGGGCATTCTCCATCAGAATTCAATAATTATTTTCAAAACGAAACTCCATCAAACCCACCCACCCACAAGCGAAAACATTTTGTTTTGAAAATATTATTGGTAACCTTGGACGGCCCCTAACGGTATAAAGAAATATTCAATAGTCTGAGGTGAAATATGTAAACGGGAAACGTCTGAAGAATAAATTGACTGTCACCACCAGGACTGGAACCAGGGACCTTCGCTTGCGGCCAGCGATGCTCTAACCACTGAGCTATGGTGTAGCTGTCATCCCAGTAGAGACGGTTCAATATTTTCTTTAGACTTCAAAACTCACGCTTCCTGTGAATCGACACAATCTCTATCCCCACAGAATAACGTGGACAAAAATCCTAAAATTATGCGCATAATTATGCCGGCGAAAACAGGCAAATTCTGCGGCAAGTATGCGGGGTTCTGCAGCAGATATGCAGTATAATGTGGTCACTATGCATGAGTTGTCTGTCGTTGGTACACATTTAGCGTACAGTTCCATGCAAGTAGTATACAATTGTACAAACTCCTGGGCGTGTACGGCATTGCACTGCTGACTACTGTATTACAAAGTGAGAAACTTTCGCAGAGACTAAATTTCGCTATTTTCCCCGACCATCACACATTCGCGAATATAAATCGCCGCAAACTGCTCTGTACAGTGATTATAGGCAGTAGCAGATCCAAATGAAGAGATAAAATTGCCAAGGTTTCTCATCGTGAACCAGCCCAATTCACGAAAACGCAAAAGTTTATCGCTTTACAGCACACACGAGCTACACGCCTGGTGCAGAGTGTAACGCGTGTGTGTGCATGCGCGCGCGCGCGTGTGTGTTTGTGTGTAAACGGCAGTGTTCAGACGAAGACGGCAGATGCCAGCGGCTAGCTAACCTTGATGTAGCCCGGTAGAGCTGTCCAGAACGTGTAGTTTGGAATCATCTCCAAACCTTCCGCTCCACGAGCACCGCGCAAGTACACGGCGCCGCCGACAATGTAAGCTATCAACACAACAAAGAAGCTGTAGCAACAACAACAACAAAACAAATATCTCTTATTGGCGATGATGTCATGAGAATAAAGAATTCAACAAACAACAGCAACACCACCACCACCAACAACAACAACACCAGCAACACCACCACCACCAACAACAACCGTACACCTAGTTTGATCACTGCTAACCATGGAATTTCCGCATCATATTAATAACGTATTCCAAACCCTCCATATGATGTAAACCTCACTAATCATTATCTCTTATTGGCCACAGGCCATCGTGAGAATAAAGATTTGAAACAACAGCAACAGCAACAACAGCAGCCAGTGGCAGCAGCAAGAGCAGTAGCAGCAATAGCATCACCACCAGCAGTAGCAGCAGCAGCAGCAGCAATAGCAGTAATAGCAGTAATAGCAGCAGTAGCAGTTGAGACAGGAGAGAAAATAAGATTTCTTAGTAGGTGCGCACAAACACATCCTCTCTGCGGAGCGTATTGTCCAGAGTATTAAGCCGCACTTTGAGCACTCAAAAATGCACCCAACAAAAGGGGTGGGGGTGGGTGCGGCTTATGCTCCGATGATCAAATAAACGTTGCGAAAAATGGACTGGATCAGAGATGTGCACTTTGTGGAAGGGATGGCGATGCGTGGAAGGGATGGCGATGTGTGGAAGGGATGGCGATGTGTGCGTGTGTGGATGTGTGCCTATCTAACATCATCCTTGAGAGTTTCCTTCAGAACGCATCACCTAACTGGCTTTTGGAAATGGTTTGCCAAGTATTCCCCAGGAAGGGGATGTTTCCACGTCTATTTCTCCAAAAAGCAATCCATAACAAGAATAGGATTTCGGCCAGGTTTTGCCCCCAAAGCAATGAGTTGGAGAAAAACCATGAAAATACGGGCCGTTCACTCCACTTGCAGAACAGTACATTGTGGGGTTCAAACCCCGGTTTAGGTACCTTTTTTTGGACCCTTTTTCAAGTTTCAAATCTCGCGGCACTGCACCGCGTACGGTAAAATCATGAAAATCACGAAACACGGAAGCTCGCCAGAGCCAGCGCTCATCTTTTTTCTGAATGGACTGTACCCTTGCCGCGCTTCAACATTCGACATGTCCTCTCCGAGGAGTCCATATCGATCCGAGGAAGAACGTTTGTTGTACATGTACGTGCTGACGTCAGTGAGTTGTCATTTTTTCATGCTTTCGCGCGGAATATTTCTTCGAGTTCACAGCGAGTTTTTCCAGGCAGCCCATACGGTAAGGCGGCAAGCTCCCCGGGCGATCGCCAGGATTGCTAATCTTTTTGGAACGGACTGTAGACGCTGGGATCCAGTGCAGCTTACATGATGGTGAGAACGCTTCCGACGCTCAACTTGTGTCCACTGGAATGGGGTGGAGGAGCGGGCGGAGAGGGTTTGGCTGGACATGCGTACTTGCTGGTCAAGGCAAGAGCCTGGAAAGAACAGCAGCATGTAAACGTGCAGACAAACAAACAAACACACAAACAAACACATTGTTATCTCTTCGGTAAGTACCAGCTCACACTGCTCAGCATATTGATAGCCCCATTGTGCCCAGCCTGCATGATAAACTCTTCAATAGCATCGTTACTATTTCAGCAATCAGCTAAATTTTGATTTCCTTTCATCCGACCCCCGTGCCTGTATTTCTTCTCTTATGACTAATTGGCCACAGGCCATCGTGAGACTGATAAAAGAGTTCACACAGCCAGGCACAAACACACACACACACATATATATATATACACATACATGCACACACACACCTCAGACCTGCCCATCGCGGAAGCGATGATAGCGAACAGCTATGTTGGACATAGCAACTACACACACACACACACACACACACACACACACACACACACACACACACACACACACACACACACACACACACACACACACACACACATATACACACACACACGCACACACACACACCACTTACTCATCATGTCGCAGTAAGTGGGCGAGGACAAGGTGCAGAAAAAGGATTGACACACAGACACACAGCCAGGCACAAGACCAGGCACACACGCACGCACGCACACATATACGCACACATATACACACACACACAGACACACACACAGATACACACACACAGATACACACACACTGCGAACATCAGCAGCTACATGCAAGACAGGAGTAACAGAAACACTTACGTAAGTCAAGTCACTTTCAGCAATGATTTTGAATTCGCCTTCCACTAGGGGATCACACATCAGCATGGCACGGGTTTGGCGAGTACTGAAGGAGCACATGACAATGGGAAGAAATATGCATGCACACATCAATACAATACATCCATACACCAATACACACACACATCAACACAATACACCCATACACCAATACACACACACAACAATACATCAATACACACATACACCAATACACACACACATCAACACAATACACCCATACACCAATACACACACACACACACACACACACACAACAATACACCAATACACACACACACACACACACAATACACCCATACACCAATACACACACACACACATCAACACAATACACCCATACACCAATACACACACACACACACACACAACAATACACCAATACACACACATCAACACAATACACCCATACACCAATACACACACACATCAACACAATACACCCATACACCAATACACACACACACAACAACACACACACACACATCCGCGAGCACACGCACACACCAATACACGCACCCACTCACGCACAGACCCACCCACCAATACACCCACACACCAATACAAACACGTTTGGTGAGCACAGAAGGAGCACATGCCAATGGAAGAAACACCCACGCACACACCCACGCACACACACACACACCAATACACGCATACATCAATACACGCGCACACACCAATACAAACACGTTTGGCGAGCACTGAAGAAGCACAGCCTCAGCTGCACAGGACAATGGAACGAACATGCACATACGCACACACCAATAGACACGCACATGCGCACACACACCCTCACACCAATAGACACGCACAAGCGCACACACGCGCACACACCCTCACACCAATAGACACGCACACGCGCACACCCTCACACCAATACACGCACACACCAATAGACAAGCGTGCGAACGGGCACGTACTAGTATACAGCGTTTCTCAGAGGCGAGCCCGGGCAGATAGTACTGGTGTTAATCAGGGCTTGAGGTTACTGTACTGTGTACACTCAACAAGCTTCAGACTTACCCTACCGGCTGGGTCGCTTTCTCTCCCTCGCCATATCGCACATGCCAATAACCTGAGGAGAACTCGAAACTAGAGTTTGTTTGACGTCCTGTAGATCTCCAAATACCACGATCATTTTGACAAACCTGAAGACATGCCACACACACCATGTACACACACACACGCGCGCACACACACACACACTTCTATTGGTGCTGTCTTTGTAGCCGTTGCATGCAGCACGAGAAGGTAGTCACTCTCAAGTCACGCATAACACGCCTTCTACAGCACTGGCCAAAGAAATCCAACCTCATGAATAAAATAGCGCCGGGCTCTACGCAGCCTTAGCACCACTGTACAAGTAGAAATTTTCGTTTACGAAATCTTTCGGTACATCACTCCACCAGCAGTAAACACACGCCGGTGGCCAAAAAGTTAGTCTGCCATGGCCTGCTCAAGCAGTAGGTAGGTTAGCGACTACAAACACAGTGCAAGGAGGGACGGGATACTTCTCACTTAGAAACAGAGCAAAGTCCTACACTGTCATGCATGGGCGACGGACACGCGCGCGTGCGACGGGATTTGATCAGCGTGATATGCATCGCGACAAAAACAGACGGCACACGAACTGAACGTGTGTAAGTCCTACGTAACAGCCAGAGTGTGGATGTGTTTCGTTTCTGGTTGCATAGGATTTGCTACCTTTGCTTTCTTTGGTGAATACCGTAATTCCGCACATATAAGCTCACGGGCCTATATCCGGATATAAGCCCATGGGCCTATATCCGGATATAAGCTCACCTCTGTTTATAAGCCCATGGGCTAATAAACAGACACAAATGCAACTCACGTGTCAAGTAGAATTTTTCACAAAATGGACTCTTCCTACCATGGTACAGCAGGTCAGTGCAGTTTACCAGTAGAGTATGGTAGACTGACCATGAGCACGGACTTGTACTTTTTCGTGAACCTTCAAAATTCGAATATCGGCCCATGGGCTAAAAAACGAACATGTTTTACTGGATATTTTATCCCCTGACTGCATTATTTCACATAAAAGCCCACATAAGCCAATGGGCTTATATGGGCATGGGCTAATATGGGCGGAATTACGGGCTGACAGCCTCTGACTATTGTTGTCACGATGTACAGTGCTGGCCAGAGAAATCCAACCCCATGAATAAAGTAGCGCCGTGTTCGAGTGCACAGACCAGTATGTGTAGTGCTAGGGCTGCGTAGTGCACAGACCAGTGTGTGTAGTGCTAGGGCTGCGTAGTGCACAGACCAGTGTGTGTAGTGCTAGGGCTGCGTAGTGCACAGACCAGTGGGTGTAGTGCTAGGGCTGCGTAGTGCACAGACCAGTGTGTGTAGTGCTAGGGCTGCGTAGTGCACAGACCAGTGGGTGTAGTGCTAGGGCTGCGTAGTGCACAGACCAGTATGTGTAGTGCTAGGGCTGCGTAGTGCACAGACCAGTGGGTGTAGTGCTAGGGCTGCGTAGTGCACAGACCAGTATGTGTAGTGCTAGGGCTGCGTAGTGCACAGACCAGTGGGTGTAGTGCTAGAGCTGCGTAGTGCACAGACCAGTATGTGTAGTGCTAGGGCTGCATAGTGCACATACCAGACAGACAGTTACTTAACAGTAAATTGATGAGAAAAGGGACCAAATGGCTGTCAGCTGACAGTTGAGTAAAACGCGTTTGAAAGTGGGCACTTGAAAAATCGCTGATTTTCGACTGCATTCGCTTGGATTTGGAATAACTTTAGAAGGGTTTTGTGTAATTCAATGCGGTAAAAACGAGTGCAGAGCTGCTTTGCTGGCCTTTCTGTACGTATTTGGATCGTCACAATCGGCCCACGCATGCCAGAGAACGGTGTACGTGACATGCAGGCTACGCGTCCACGAGCTGCCGTTGCAAAGAGAAAATCTTTGAACATCACTTCAGATGCTTCTTTCTCGTTCTGCTTAGAAATTTGTTTGCAAACATGTCGATCCCAACATTTACCGTTGATGCGAGTCTCAGGGAAGCTTTGACAGAGCTAGATAGAGAGTTTTTGGGCATCGAAGTGGAGATTGCCGAGTCAAGTGATGATTCTGACAGGGAGTTGTCGTTGGAGTTGTCAGAACTATCCTCTTCCTCTGCTGAAGACGGCGATGATCGGGAAGACCACTTTTTGGACGAGTCACTCGATGTGGATGCAGTTGCAGCATCATACCTCGGCGAAGAGTCAGCGCAGGCTGCAGAACCAGCGCAGGCTGCAGAACCAGCGCTTGCTGAGGCGGCAGCTGCGGAAGAAATAACTGTGAACTGCGGGTGCAGCAAAAAGTGCTTGGACAAGTTTGATGCAGAAGATGTTCGACTGCTGCAGCTCAACATCGCAGAAATGGAGAAAGGGGAGAAGGAGGTGGTGATTTTGGGCCTTCTAAAGTCATCCAAGTACTCTACTGACACCACGACTCACGGGAAAAAGAGAAAGAAGCAATGGCATCGGTATACTTACCAAGGCGAAGAGGTTTGCGCCGGTGGATTTCGATTGCTGTACAACATCGGATCGAAGCAACTAAAAAATCTGAAAAAACACTTGGAGGAGAATGGGCTGGTGCCACGGACCCATGGCAATGTCGGCAGGAAGCCTAAACATGCTTTGTCGTACGATACTGTGTCTGCCGTTGTGCAATTTCTAAAAACTTACACTGAGCGCTTCGGCATACCACAGCCAGCACCGACTCGAGGGCGAGCTGGAGCACCGCCAACTTATCTGCCAGCGTCATCAACGGTTACATCCATCCACAAGTGCTATGTGACCTCATTAGAGGAATCAGGCATCAGGGCTGTGGGCTACCACACATTTCGGTCCGTTTGGCTTGACTGCGGTCCGTTTGGCTTGACTTATCGACTGCTTGTCGATAAGTCCTCAAAGTTTTGTATGATCCTGTTCTTCGTATGGCTGCAAAATATCTGAAAAGACACTTAGAAGATTGATCGTAGCTTTGTCAAAAATTGAGATAATTCAGCTCTGTTTTTTGCATCGTTTTCTGCATGAAACCAGCTTTCTTCTGATGTTTAGAGCTCGGTTTGAGTAAAAAAAGCCATTTGGTCCCTTTTCTCATCACAGGGCTCCGCTGAGTGAGTGAGTGTGTGTAGTGCTAGGGCTGCGTAGTGCACAGACCAGTATGTGTAGTGCTAGGGCTGCGTAGTGCACAGACCAGTGGGTGTAGTGCTAGGGCTGCGTAGTGCACAGACCAGTATGTGTAGTGCTAGGGCTGCGCGATTATATTCATGAGGTGTTGGATTTCTTTGGCCAGCCCTGTATGCTTTGGCATGCATACCTCAGAGTTGGTAACCGCCCAGGAGACAGAAAGTAGAGTTAGGAGAATGAAAACGAGAAGAAAGATGCTTGCGGGCAAAATCGTGGGGAATGAAACTCCCCCTCCCCTCCCCAAACACACATACGACTCGTACGCACAGACCGTATTATCTCTAATATAAGCACGGTCCTTTATTTTTCAATGTACCTCCGCCCCGTGCTATTACTGTAGACGTTCCTTTATTGGAGACTGTTCCATTATTATTTCAATCTCATTTCAGAGGTTGGTGCACCGCGCGCAATCGCACGACTGATCATGATGATAATATGTACAATCATGTACTTGCAATGATTATGTGCGTACATATACTACCGTACGGTGTCCTTTATTGGAGGCCCGGGCCGCGGGTGGTTTTCAGAGCACTTCACACTGAGCACTTCACAGTGTGCTTATAATGGAGGCTGAGCACTTTATTTTTTGAATGCCGCCCCAAGGTGTTCTATTATTGGAGACGTGCTATTATTGGAGACTGTGCTTATATTAGAGATAGTACGGTACACAGAAACACAAACATACACATGCAGACACACTGACAGACAAACAGACAGACACACACACACACACGCACATACATGTACACACACATGCTTACAGCAGCGGCCTCGGCCGTAGTGCAAGATCCGGTGGCTGGAGGCAGATTCAGTGCATCGCACAGTTTCCATTCATACTGGTACTGGTTGTTCGTGTCATTCGCTTTCCTGTAAACAAAAAACATACACACACACACACACACACACCACACACACACACACACACATACACACACACACACACACACACACACAGACACACACATATTTTGTACACACACACACATACACACACACACATTTTGTACACATACACATACATGTACACACACACACACACGCACACATATACATACATACACACACACACACACACATATGTACACACACACACACATTGGTTAACCAGAGTGGATCTGATATAGACTAGAAGAGGCTTCACTAGCACCAGTGCGCAGGCCACGGTCACACCAAGCTTGACTCAGCCATTCAGCCGAAAATAGGCACCCGTGCACGTGACCGTAACCATGGACACGGCTGAAGAAGGCGTGGCGCACGCGCGAGATTTCCAGCCGCAGCCGACTCTCAGCTGTTCCCGAGATGGCTGAATGCAGCCACAGCTTGCGGAAGTGACTACAAGGCAAAGGGTGCGTGCGCACCATCACAAAAAAAACCAGCAAACTAAATACTGAACTGAGATAGAGATTTTAAAATGTTCTCGTTCTTGCGTCCGTGCTCTGGTTTCGATGCACGTGCGCAGAGGCAGGAAGATCAACGTACAGTCAACTTTGCGTATAACGGCACTCGGCGGAGCATCAGAAAAGTGTCGTTATTCGCGAATTGTCGTTATATCCGCAGTCGTTATTACTTATTAGCGAGGTCTGACGGTACATGCAATCTGGTACTACTGTGCACATGGGTGTTTGTATGTCCTGTGGCTGTGGACCATGGCTTACAGGAGCACAAGAGTTGCACCTCCCCCCCCCCCCCCCCGTCCCCCAAACAAATTGTGACCTAGGTTTATCATACACAAAGTATGAAAGGCTAGGGTATCACCGGACCAATCCAAAACTGCTTCCGCTGGTCCTGACATATGCGGTCGTGCAGCCCCCCTCCCCCCCCCCCCCCCTCTAAAAGGGAGACCAGCTATGCCCCTTAGTTGTACTTGGTGCATTACCGCACGCAACGCTTGTCGGATCACAACTATAATCGGACAGATGTTATTACTCCAGGAGATTCGTGTGGTACTGATCTGTCATATTTTTGCTACCCAAAGCCCATGCTTCGGACCAATATACTAATATGCGATAAACATGGCTTGTAATAGGGATTCCAGAATCTGGCCGACTGGGTTCGAGGACTTTCTCCACGCGCTACACACAAAAGTTTGGTCGCGCGATGACGGCTCATTCTAGGTCAGTGCGCTGGGATATCGTAAGTTTCGGAGGATTTTTGAAGTCACCAGTGGCTTCCTGAGGTTTTCAGCTGTCCAATGTGGGGTTTTTGGTCGCCGTGCGGCGAAATTAGGCCATTGCGATCAGTCAAAGAAGAAATTGAAGGCGATTTTCAAGTTTAAAATGGCATCTTAGGGGATTCTTAAACCGATTTTCAGCTTCAGCACCCAAAAACCTTTCGGAATCACCCATGCCGGTGTTTTTCTCAAGAAGGTAGAGCAGCGCAACAAAATTTGAGTGCGCCGAGTAGGACTAAAAGCACCTCCGACATGGCGATTTTTTCAAGTGCGAGGAAGAAGAGTAGATCTACACTAGAAACTAGGTGTTACCCCCAGCGCAGTCAGCTGATCGCGAGTATCAAGCAGCACGAAGACCAGGATTGCGCTGTGCCTAGTGAGCACGACGTAGTACACGGTTCTGTACTATCTCCTGTTTGCGAGGAACAAGGAGAACAGGTGGCGGCTTGGATTTACGACTCTTGTCACACTGTGCTAGCGGAGAACAGTGAGCTGCCGTCATTACCGATTGAACTTGTTGGTGTCGGAGCTGATGCAGTATCCCTCACCATGATCAGCCTGATCCCAGCTCCCATCGACAGCGTCTTCTGGATTTGGTTCGCAACTTGAATTGCAAGCTCTAGGGAAGACGGCAGCGGCAACATCAACATTGGCGTGTTGGTGACTTGCAGTCCGTGTCGGCAATGGCCAAAGCCGTGCTGGTGACTTGACGTCCTTGTAGGCCAAAGCCGTGTGAAGGAGAGGGGTAGGTTCGCCAAATCAAAGCGTGCATATGCCATCCGCTCAAGGCAAGGATAAGAGGCCGGCTGTGAACCAAATTTCATCTGATTCGTGTGAAAATGTATGTAGCTAGGTGGTCGCTATTCCGTAGTTTGACCATGTTTTGAGCTGATTTCCCATTTGATCGCCAGAGAAAAATACACCCATTTCGCCGTAGAAAAATGGCTATAACTTTCGAATGCCTGGACCGATTTTGATAAAATTGGTACAGGTCTGCTCTCGATATAACAACTCTCACTTGTACATAAACCTCGCTAGTAAGTAAAAAAATCAAATCCCGCGCCGAAACAGCATCACTCCCATACAAATTTTGTTCTACACAACATAATCCTACATAACATAAACCTCGACATAACACGCTACGGCGCGGTCCCCGACGTGCGCACTCTCGATACAACATAAATTCACGTGCACGGTACGATCAAGCGGTAGCCAGGTAGCTGTAGCTAGCTAGGCAGTTTAGTCATACATAACGTAAACCTCGGCATAACGCACCCTGTGGCGCGGTCCCCGACGTGCGCACTCTCGATACAACGTAGATTCACGTGCGCGGTACGATCAAGCTGTAGCCGTAGCTAGCCAGTTTAGTCCTATTGTGCATATATTCCGCGGCATTGATGGTATCTGATGTCGATGGTGGTACAGTGTGTATATGTTTGCACGGTTGAACCTGCCTTGTAACAGTAATACCCTTCATTTTGAGGTACATCTTGTATTTGACACACGGTTTTCTACATAACATAACTCTCGATATAACATAATTTGTGTGTGGTCCCAGAGATTACGTTATATGGAGAGTAGACCTGTACCATTGGATTTCTTATTACCTGGGTGACATTGTCCAAGAACAAGCTAGCTTGAATTATGAATTTGAATTTTATCCTGGAATCCCTACTTGTAAGAATATCCGTTCACTTGAAAGTTGAAACCCATGTTAGGATTATGGAAAAATGAGTGTTCATTCGCGTAGGCGGCGTATTCTTTTACACAAGCACACTATAACTGATACGGACTGTACTGTACACATGCGCTGTCGACACCTCTGCCATGTCTTGTACTGTGAACTACATAATCATTGCACTTCAACCTATCACGTCGTATCAGCGATCAACAGCTCGTCACACTTCATCGGGTCCGTCTCACCTACAAGGTGAGAAGAAAGCCTGCCTGCTCGACTAGCGGGGCATAACATATTGCACACACAGCACCAGCCAATACAATCAGACAGTAATGTCTAATGATACTGTTACATACGACAGGCAAGATGATGATCTTCTCACAGGTAAGTACACGATTGTACACATAACACATACTGACATAGTACGAGACCACATATTGCACTTACAGAGCAGCCTTGCGAAGTGGAGAGAGGTCGATAACTTTCTGGTCATCTTTTCCGCCCGAGATGGTGCACTTGCACGACGGAAAGGCACTATCAGGCACACATGTCTGCGCCAGGCACTCTCCAATGATCAAGCCGAGGAAACAGATTGCTAGAAAGCCTACAGGTCGACTCATACCTATTGTTGTCAACCTAGCCTCAGCTAAAATTGCAGTATGTTTTGCACAGAAGTCGGGGGTGATAACACCGTTCTCTACTCCGAACGGAGGATATGAAGTAACGACCAGAAACTCTCACCTGAAAGAAACCTTCAGCTTGGCAGAAAGCGAAGGATGAAACACAAAAAAGATTGCAAACCTTCCACCTACAAAAATACATAAAACAAAACGGAAAATGAAAAATGACAAAATACGAAAGGAAAACCATGGCATGATTGATGGGGTTGAAAGTGGTGGCACGCTTGTCATGTGACGACCCTGATGAGTCAAATGAGCTATAATGACGTCATGCGTGCAAGAGTCGACGCAAAAAAACAGGCAAAAGTTTCGTGAGTAACCATGGAGCTTCACACGTGATGTGTTAGCGCGTTATGACGCCCAACTCAGTGCAGCTCAGGTGTCAAGCACTTGACACCATCTACCAACAAACACTGACTGCATGGACTGTATCGATAGCTAGCTAGCCACCGAAAAGAACAATTTTGAAAAAGTAAAAAACCCGAACATGTTTGTAGTTTGGCAGAGGGAGAAAGGAAAGGTCCTATGTGCTGTGTTGGGTTCCTCACCAATATCTATCTAGAAAAAAGCAACGTGTAGAGTACACGTTTTCTGCGAGTCGAGAGCAGACCTCTTTTATTCAAACCAGGTCGAAGCATGAGCAGAAGACCTTTTTCGTGAGTCTTGTGGACAAGTCCAAAATAATTCCTATCAGCT